AATTCTTCACACAGACAATTACATTTCTCCTCCCATTTTAACCCCTCATTCTCAGAATTCATTCTTATACCTTCAAAGCATTGGATTAAATAAAAAGAAATGTTAAAACCAAAATTATTGAGATGAAGAAGGACAAAACCAGTTTTTTCTAATTTTTCATTTCTAGTTTGGTCAGAAAGAAATCATTATGTTATTCTCTTATACCTATCCTTTAGTAGCTAAAAAGTTAAAATGGAAAAGAAAGAAAAGTACAAGTTTTTTTTTCACAATGTCTCCTATTCACTGCTAATAGCCTAAAGGCTGAAATAAGCCTATTTATAATCAACAGCACAGTAGTATCTACACATCTTGTTTACAAAAGCTGGTTCACTGCCTTAAAAGGTCATCAGAATGGCAGAGAAAAAAATCAGGAAAAAAATCATTTTTTAATTATACTATTTGATTTGTTATTGCTGCTGGATGCCAAAACAAGGGATATAAGTGGTTAAGGAAATTCACCACAAAATACTAACATTTCGTGTTAACTATTAACTCCTTTCATGTGACTGAAACCACATAAGAAATGGACAAGCTTAAAGACTGAACTTGCCTGAAGGGCAATGGATCCTAAGAATATTTCCCCCCATTTCTTAAGTTTGGCTCCAAAATATCTGTCCTTCCAATAGTGGGTGAGTTTATGATTTCTGAACTTTAAGAATGTTCTGTTTTAAAATTAGAACCAGCTGTAACATTACTAGAAATTTTTGGTACAATCATTTATATTGGGACTAAGCCCCACTGAACTCAGGAACTACTGCTGATGATTGTGTTCAATACTGGCTTGTATTCAGATTCAATTAATCCCTACTTAATTATAGCTCAAAACATTTTGCTGAATATAAGTGTTTTAAAACTGTTGCTGATTAGAAAAACTACCTTTTAAATTAAATAGGAGGGACATGTTTAACCAAATTGTAAGGATTTTAACCATGAAATAGACATATCTACATCCTTGGGAAGAACCGTTGATCTGCAAATTCCTCTGTTTTTGAGTTCTTCTAAATAACGAACTCCTTTGTGTTAAGTTGACAGATCAAACTCTTTGAATACAAGTTACAATAATTTATTTTGGTTGTGATTAAAAGGGTTTGGCCCCCCTCCCCCAACAATTAAATGGTTAACCTTTCTAAAGCTCTTGGTGTCTAATTTCACTTTTAATTGTCATGACAGAAGAGAAAGAGCAGAGAGAGAAAGAGGTTTTAAATGACAAGCAGAAGTATACAACACCAGTGGTCATCACTTCTGTTGAAGAACTCAGCAATTCTTATATACCTTTTTATATCAAACATTTTTCTTTATGCCAGTGATTTCTTTAAAAAAAATATAAACACTTTCATTTGCTCCAGAATTCAGTAATTCAGCTCACTAATTTTAGAATAGTGACAGTATGGTTGCTTATAACACCAGTCCCACAACCAAATTCTGTTTTGGAAAATTGTTCATTGTTAATCTCAATTTGGACATCACTGCTAAATGTCCCACATTACTTAGAGAATACATGAAGAAGCTCATTGAATCTGAATTGTGCCATCAGCTTATATGTTCTAAAATATAAGTAATCAAAATTAAATCTTAATCTATATATTTTAGACAAAGTATTATGCATATATAATGCAAATAATCAGCCCAAAACTGATTATGTGCTTTATAAGGAAGCTAAAAAAGATAGTTATGATGAAATATTTCCATTAATTTTTTTTTATATTTTATAGAAATTTTAAAGTTACAAATTTAAAAGTTAGAAATGAAAAAGAAAATTGGAAATACAAAAT